TTATTTTTCATCTTTAATTTCATACACAATTTCTTAATTGGATATTTAATTAGATAAGTAAGAATTTAATGTTTAAAATGAAGATTTGAAATTTAATTTTCATATTATTGTATATTTTACCACTGAGCATCAGGGTAAGCTCAACCGATGCTAACTAAACAGAAATTATACTGAATAATATTCTACACTTGTAATGATCTCAACTTTTTTAAGTGAACTGACTTCCCCTAGTTTACGCCAATGTACATAAGGGAGTGTTTCGGGTTGCTTAGCAAGCCTACTTTGTTTTGAGGTAAAAATATTCCGATTATTCTAGTATTATTTCTACTCTATATAATTTGTTTATTTTTAAACAATATGCATACTTATTACTTTTTTTATAATTTTTCTCTATATGCCGTGAAGAAAAAGTCACTTAAAGCGAACTTTTCATATTCTTATTAGATCATAGTCTTATAAACCCTCACGAACGTTCTAAAATTTAAGAATGTCCGTGAGAGTTTTCGACATGATTCCTTGCATACTTGCTTAAACGTACGAATTACCTAGTATTCAACTTTTTTGGAATAAACAGTGGTATGCTATATAACAGGGGTGGCCAGCGAGAAGAGACTCGCGAGCTACCAAATGTATTAATAAATATGGAAGAGCCAAAATGAAAAAAAAAGGTCATATTTTTATATATATATATATATATGTATGATATTGTAAATAAGATAAGACATCGAATTTAATAAAATGTGAAGAATACGATAACAATAATGTCAAATTAAATTTCATCTTCATAAAATACCATAAATATCAAAATATCAATTGAAATTATTTGGAAGATGAAGGACCAAAGTAGTTCAAATATAGTTATCATTCTTTGTTGGAATTTGAGAATTATGTGACTGTTATTAAATAACCAAAATTTACTCTTTGCACTCAAAAGTTAATATCGATTTTTTGAACAACATATTCTTGTGAGTCATTATACTCAATCATGAAAATTATTAAATCTAAACATTGATCAACATTAACAGATGATCATTTAACGAAATTGTTAAGGGCTACGTTAACAACGTAAAATCCTGATTTTAAAAAACTTACGAGCAAAATAAACATGCAACAAATAAGAAAATAATCAATAATGAAAAATTATACCAAGAACACTTTCTTTTTACTAATTTTTTTCTATACACTGCAATTTAATAAACTATTATACTTTTTCAAATACATAAACTCATATAAAAAAAAAACTTTTTGTAAAAATATTACGATGAGAAGCGAGCCGCAAAAGTCTAAGATGCAAGCCGCGGTTTAGCCACCCCTGCTATACAATAAATGGGTACCGTACTAGTATCTTTTATTGTTTGTATTTAATGATCGGTAAATTCATGACATAAAAAAGAGCATTAGTTGTGGGATAAAGAGTTTTCGATTGGATTATCTTATATAGAATTCACAAGGAATTCATAAATAATTTACAATAATACATTTTAAGTTAGTTGTTAAATATATGTATTTTATGTTTTAGATGAATGGAGTAAACATTTTCGATTTTAATTGAGATATAATATTTTTATTATAATAATTTAGCAATTACAGCCAAAATGTTTCGCCAAATTCAAGAAGTGTATATATAAAATACATATTCTTAAATATAATTAATCTTTTTCTATCATATTTATACAACATTTTAAGAATATATTAGTCACGTGTACCGTCATTTTCCTTCCTGGATGAACAATTATTATCTACTGTTATTACCTACTATTAGGAATATTAACTTATAATACTCCTAATTACTCTATAAATGGATGGTAAATAATTAACAGTTGTTTACTAATACAGTTGTAATATTGAATAGGGTTACGCAAAATAAACATTTTTTTTTGAGAATTTTTCGTTTTTGTGTTTCTTCGAATAATTATTATTAAGACATACATCACAAATTGTGTAATAGGCAACCAAACATTCATTATTACTAAAACTCAATGTATCTTATACGTATTTTAGTAGATGGGTGTGTAGTTGCCTATTTGATAATATTTAAGATTTAGTTTTTCTGAACTACTCGTATATATTATTATAATATTACGTTTTTTCTATTATTTTAGATAAAATAAAAAATATGTATAATTAACCCACTAAAGAAAAAATATATAAATTTCGAACTAAAATCAATAAAATACAATTACCATGATGTTTAGTCAAAGCGACTTCGAAACAAAATTTGAGTGTAACCATCTCAGTTACTCACCCTTTCCAAAATCATTGTCTCTTTATATATAAACCCCAACAATAACTTCATAAAAAATCTTAACTACGCAATATAACCTAAATAGGCACGATGAGTATTTAAGCTGTGTGTTTATTGTTCTGTCATCTTTATCTTATTTTTTCATTATTATAATTAATGGGCTTCAGCTCGTTTTGAATCACATACATTTGAATATTATTATTATTACTAATAATAAGACATTCTTAGTGGTGCCATGTTGATTTCTTTGATTTAAGATTGTGATCAAGGGTTATTATTTTCGGAGTGCGTGAACGCGTGTTTATTTTCTAGAAGTTTATAGATTTTATTGTTCAATTTTTGCGGTTTTTTTTAAACTATTAATTGCAGCGTTTCTAGTCAAAGTGAAATAAACTTTAAATATAATTAGTTTATATCATTAAATATTTAAGAATCATACATTTTCATAATTGGATAAAACTATCTGGTAAAGTTATATGTAGATAATAATATTACGACGTTAAATACTTGCATGGGATGCTGTGTTGGAATTTGAAGTAGAATATTGTATGTCGACATGCTGCTATCATGCCGAAAATCTTTATTATTTATTTTTATAAGACACCAAATATCAATACGCGATTGAATAACACCCGAACGACTCAAATTTTCCAGATGCGCAGTGCCTAATGTCTAAAAATAATATAGTAGTTGTGCGATACTTAAAATAATTTAAATCCCGCACGAGACATTTATAGAAGACCTGAGAAATGTTTACAGAAGTTACAAACAATATTTATGTATTACATTTTATTTAGGATATGATTTTAAACAGGGCTTAAAACCGTTTCCTAATTAAGTTGGTAATCAGCTCCGGTAGGAGCAGAATATTTTTTAAAACCAGTAACCTGTTATCGCTTAATTTTGATATTTAGGTAACCGGTAACCCTTTCACTAAGGATATTTCAAAAACTTTAATAACCGTTCATCGTTTAAAAGCCGATGATAAGGTTTTTTGGTAATCGGTTACCGGTTAAAACCGGTTTTTAAAAATCATATTTTTCAATTTTTTAATCGTATTTTTAAAACAGTTTATTTAGGCGATTCATTGGTTGATAATATAACTTTTATTATTACAAAATTAAAAACTTAATATGCTTTAATTTGGTCGATTTCACTTAATTTCAATATTTATTTTTTCAAACTACTTTAACGTTTAAAATATATTATGATCAAGATAATGATAATCAAAAAACTAAATTGCATAAAAAAAATATATTGTTATAATTTTCTTATTTATAACGGTAAATAACCGAAATTAAATATAATAATTTTCTAAGATAACACTAAGATTGATACTTACTTGAACTTAAGATTTAAGTTCAATAAAATAAAATCAACTGTTGAAAAACAAAAACCGAAACCCGGTTTAAAAGTGGTTATCGGTAATTTTGATGACTTAAAACCGCTTCCAAACAGATAATCGGTAGTCCCATTTGTTATTGTTATTTTGGTAACCGGGAATCGATTACCGCTATTTCTAAAAACCACGAAGACCAGCAACTAGTCCTGAAAAAATTTCCGGGTTCTCTAGACCCGGTAACCAATTTTTCCTAGAGCAGTTTCAAACCCTAATTTATAATATTAAAATCCTTTTTTATACATTCGCAACTCACGTATAATACTCTAGTTAAGGATTTGTAGTTTGTGTAAAGTTGCACTACGCATACAAGAGAGTGTGACGTAAAAATTAAAAATAGTTAAAACTGATAAATAATATGTACAATCGTATTAACTTTAAAAGATAATTAGTATTGCTTATATTCCAGAGTTAGTTTGGCAACGTTGTACGGGTTTGATACATTTTTATTAAAAATATTTTGGGCGAAAATGCTTTATAAAAAAGGTATCGTGGGCGCAAATGAAACCATTTGCGCCCACGATTTGCACCGGTTTGTTAGATTACAGGACAATTACCGGGTGTAGAATCGTACTGATTGATGCTTTGCTTGATCAATTTCAGCTTCAGTTTATCTGATTATATTTTTTTGATCTCAGCGTGAAGTTTTGATACTTCCATTTTCGCAATTAAAATTTTCTGTTTCTACGACACAAAAAAACGAAAGTTATAATTTTTTCTAGAACTTCCGTACGACCATAGAGTAATTTGTTTGCTATTGATTACCATTTCACATTTTTCTGGAAACTGTATACTCCATCCGACGAGCATTTAAACGGAACTTAAATCGGAAATTATAGAAATTATCAACTATAACTGTTTTTTCGTGTAATAATATATAGCAGTATTTAATGCTACTTCCATCGAATCGTTTTGTTTAATCTATAATAGACATGGGCAGTGGCGAAGCGTCATAAGAGACAAAGAGACAATGTCTCCCCACTTAGAAATTAGAACACGGGATAAATAAATAATTATTTTGTTTTATAAAATATTTAAAAATGTGAATTTTATTTTATATTATAAAATATAATATGATGTATGTTTAATCGGTTTTTCGTTGTAGTGTTGACAGTGTTGTAGAGTTATAGAATTTTTAAAATAGATTAGAAGCGGGCTATACGGTCGTGTGTACGAGCTGGCGATCGGGTCATTCCAAATATGGTATTATATCTAATAGACATTACGACGCAACGTCTCGCAAATATGGATGCGCGGGTACAGGAGGAATGTTAATCTGAGTGGGGTTTACTACGTACGCTATGAGACACGTCTCGCTGTTCGTAATTACCTCAGTGCTCAATATTTATTATCGACGTCACCGTCGGTGGTCACGCAGCGCCATTTCAACGTCGTACGTGTTTCAAAGTAGTTATTGTTTCGTATTGTAATTTGTAATTAATTGTCCTCATCATGGCTGACGATTTAATTAATGTAATTTTAAACGATGGAGTTAATAACTATTCGTACGGAAAAAAATTTGAACTAAGAAATAAAAAACCATGTCCCTTATTGAATTTAACGACAGCTGACGGAAAAACAACTTGAAAATTTCAATTCGTGTGGTATTCAAAATATAAATGGCTTACTGGTAGTCAGGTAAGGAATAAGTTATATTATTTTTATTGCTTATTATTAAGAGGAAAGAAAACCTGGAGCAACGAAGGTTTGTCAAATATGAAAAATTTCGAACGAAAAGCAAACAAACATGCTATTTCTGAAAGCCATCTTGTTTGTCAGGAATAATTTAAGTTACTCGGTAAAAATATAATTGATCATGCACTATCAGAAGGGCGACGCTTGCAAGCCATAAAATATAATGAACAAGTTGGCATTAATCGTCGCATATTAACTCGATTAATTCATGTTGTGTGTTATTTAGGGAAATAAGAATTAGCTTTCCGTGGACACGATGTACAAAAAAGCTCATTAAGTAAGGGTAATTATTTAGAGCTATTTGAACTCTTATTTCAAGAAGAACAAATACTCAAGAACATTTTTTGTCGAACTCTTTATTTAAAGGAACGTCTAGTGATGTGTAAAATGATTTAATTGCTTGTATTACAGATGTTGTAAATACTAAAATAATGAACGATTTAAAAAGTGCAAAGTTTGTGTCTATACAAGCCGATGAAACCACCGATGTATCGTGCAAATCACAAATGATTATAATTTTAAGATACGTTGTTGACAACAATATTGAAGAGAGATTTATAGGTTTTTTTGACGTATCAAAAGATAAAAGTGCTGTTGGACTCTCAAATATTTTATTGGCAGAAATAACCAAATGGAACATAAACGATAAAATTATCTGTCAGACTTATGATGGAGCAGCCGTCATGGCAGGAAAACAAAATGGAGTCCAAGCCACTATTAAAAAAACTTATCCAAAAGCCCTATTTATTCATTGCTATGCCCATCAACTGAATCTAATTTTTTTACATGCGTCAAAAAATATTAAGTCCGTTAGTATTTTTATAAGCGACCTTACAATGTTTCACACATTTTTCAGTAGATCACCAAAGCGAACTGAGCTACTACGGGAAAAAGGTTTTAAGTTGCCAACAAGTAGCGAAACAAGGTGGAATTACCATTCAAGAGCAGCAGCTACTATAAATACACATTTTAAAGAACTACAAAAAGCGATATCGTATGTAACAGAAGAGGAAGACTAGGATCCGATTTCTATAAGTACGGCTTATGGGTTACTGCATAAATTATCAAATCCAAAATTTGTCTATTTATTATGTCTATTTCATCGAATATTTATATACTCGGATCATGTATTTTTAATACTTCAAAAAAAAATGCACTGCGGATGTACAAACTTGCATAATTGAAATAAAAAATTTATCTACGCAATTATCTGCTATGAGAAATGACCAAAATATTATAACCAAGTGTTGCGAATCTGCAATGGAATTGAATAACGAACTTCAATATACAGACAAAGATGTTAATAGCCTGAAAAATCTTACGTTTGAAATATTGGACTCAATAATTATCCAAAATGAAGTTCGACTTCAAGATTTTCCCGTTTTGAAATTTATTGAGCTTGCAAACAACAGCGAGTTTAAGAATTACAAAAAACATTTTCCAATTGAGAAACTAAATCAACTACTAAAAGTTTTCCCTGGAGTTTTCGAACAAGAGAGATTACAAAATGAATTGAAAGTTATTTACAATGATAATAACAAACATCTCCAACCTAAAGAATTGCTGAACTATATTATTAAAGGTTGGTACATACTAATATATTAAATTAAGTTGGTTAATTTTTATTTTTAAAAACTATGTATTAAATTATAATATAATCATATTTGTTTCAGCCGAGTTACAAGAAGTATACGTAGAGCTTACAAAATTGTTACAATTAATTTTGTGTATTCCTATAACGACGGCTTCTAGTGAAAGAAGTATGAGTACTTTAAAAAGAATCAAGACATTTCTAAGAAATACAATGACACACGATAGATTCTCAAATTTGTGTACTATGGTTACCGAGAAGAAAATGTTGAGTGAATTAGTCACTGACCCAATATTTATTGACAATGTCATTGACTTATTTTCTAAGACAAAAAATAAAAAAATAAATTTAACGTATAAATTAACGTAAATTTATTTTTAAACTATTCATCTTGATGTGAGTTGCATATATATACAGTATATTATATTACATTTTATTTTGTTTTTCTGTTTATAAATTATAATACATTTGTTATTAGTAGACTTAGGAATTTCTAGCATTTGCATATTTTTTTTAATTATTGTTAAATATAGCAGAGTGCGAAATAAATTCGTCTCTCGATGCCATGATATCAGATCTAAAATTTGAATGTGTATATTATTGCATATTTGATAGATTTTGCAGGAAAGTGCATATTTTAAAATTGTTATGCTTATTTTGCATATTTCGACAATTTTTTTAAATTTAAAATTAAAAACTATAGATACGTATAACTATATATACATATTTCAAACGATCGAAAAAAAAATTTACTTAATAATTAGTACTTAATACTTCCAATAATATGCTATCTGCAAATTACCTCACATATTTTGTTATAATATTTGTGTAAGTATAAATATTACTATAAACCCGTATCGATCATATTTAGATATCGACCGGATGTCGATAAAGATAATAGTTGATATAGAATAATAGATTATTTATTTAATGTTCAGTTCAGTCGATTATTATCCGTCGTTATTTTTGTGTCTCGCAACCACCCAACGTCGAATCATACATAAAAGGTACGTATTTTGTAACATTGTGTAATGTCGAAAGTACAACAGTCTACGATTAGTCGACTACAAAGTTTTGTTTCGGAGTTTAAAGATACATTTACATCCGATGGACACGTTTTATTTTGTGTTCTATGTGGTCATTTTTTTTCTTTAATGCATATGAATGCATATTTTAATGATTTTAAAAGCATATTTGCATGCATATTTGTGTATTTTTTAGAGCTATAAGTCCCTAAGCCTAGTTATTAGTTATTATCAGTGTTGGGACTATAGTGCGTTTTACGAAATTAGAGACTCGACTGTAGCACAACCGATGGTCAAAACTTTGCATTTCAGTGTCGTTCAAACTTTACAATAGCGCGGTTGATTTGAAAATAAACATACCTTTTTAATGATGATTTTTTTTTAGACATTTACCAAAAAAATGAAAAAAAAGTAATGTATTATTTAAACAAAAATGAAAATATTATAATACACAAATTATTTTATAAAAAAAAAAACAAATTTTATTATTTTTTTTTAAAAATAAAAAATACATTCATACATTCATAATACTTCATAATCTTCACTGTCGTCGCTGCTTTCATCGGGATTTATAGTAAGAATTATGGGTTCTAAAATCTCGTCCCGTAAGCCTTCCTTAATGAAGTCGTCGTCTTGCAATTTTTAGCAGTGCTTGACACAACGTTACCAATCTTTGACCGTTACCGAGTCTATGACTTCGTTCACCAGTTTTTCTACATCCACAATTTTGAAAGTAGTGTTCAATTCCGCGACTTTATTTTTAATTTGCGCCCATATAAGCTCGATGGGATTGTACTGGCAATGGTACGGTGGTAATCGTACAACTGAATGTCCCATTTGTAATGCAATCTCGTCAAGCTCGTAATTTTTTTCTCTTGGTGTTACATATTTTACCCTCTCACGTAATTCACACAAAGTTTCGAGTGGTGAAAAGTCTATACCTTTATTGGTTAACCATTGTTGAACATCAAATTTTTTGGTATTCGATTTTGGATAATTTTCCGAAGTTGTAGAGTGGTATGACACGTTGTCCATTACGATAATGGAGGGTTCTTCCAAACGTTTCATCATTTGAATGAACCAGTCTTTAAATATAGTTGAATTCATTTGGGTATGGTAGTCTACATTTGTGCCAAATTGACAACGGAACACTAATTTTGAACCTGCTACAAACCCAAATGAACTTGACCCGTCATGGAAAATAATTAATCGGCTCCCTTTTCCAGTAGGTAACCTAACCTAAACTAACCTTCAACCCTTCAGTATTATCTTTGTTCTGCCATATGTACCCGCGAGTGTAGTTTTGATTTATCTAGGTCTCATCCAGATAAACTACAGGACGAGTATCCTTATTTTGACGTAAATTACACATGGTTCTTAAAAGTTTAACGCGCATCGCAACTATATTGTTTCTTTCCATAAGAAATTTTCTACCATCGTTACATTTCTTATATTTGAAATGTAAAGACCTCAAAATTTACCACATAGATGTTTTGGATCCCTTATATTCAGTTTTTTCTTGGTACTTACTCAGCAGTTTAGTTGTTGTGGAGTACTCACAATTGTCGTAGAACTCATGGATAGTTCTCCGTACAATATTCGCATCAAAGTCGTCAGTACTTGTTACATACTTTGCTCGCTTATATTGTTTTCGCGAAGAGGTAAATGAAACACATGAAAGGCCGACTTCTGGTTCTGAATGTACCATAGATTTGACACCTTCAGTCGTAATCCTTTTTACGGTACTTAAACTGACTCCACAAGCATCCGCAGTAATTTGTTGAGTCTGACAAAAATACTTGGCAACTTCGACGTTCACTTTGTTATTTGACAATTTTTTAAAATAATTGTAAACATTAAAAATTGTATTTTTTGTCTGTGAATGTATATCAACATGTCGTGAAATTATTAAAAACAAAAAAAAAACAGTAGGTATATTTTTCAAATATCGCGAGTTAACTGTAATTATTAATCAGTAAAACAATTATCTAAACAAAAACGATAATGGATTTATTTTGTGGTGAAACGGGTTACACTGATAATAATTATGAAATCTCGATTAGAAAATACAAACAAACACGTGTAATGTTAACGATAATAACAACACGATAATTAACCTAAATCTGCGCATCAGCTACTTCAGTATCATTATTTTTTTATCAAAAAAACCATTGGTCCATAATCTTGTCATTCTGTGTACTGAGCGCAGCGCTGTATACGGCAGTTCAATTTACGTGCGCTTTTTAGCCTACATTTTGAGTGCCCCTACTGATTATAGACCACCGGTCGCGCTACAGTCGAGTCTCTGATTTCGTGAAACGCACTATAGATTGATTGTTTGTCATCTTTTATCGTATTTAGATAAATAACGCTAAGTTATCTAATTACTTATCCAAGATAAAATTTTTACTTATCTAGATAATTGTCTGTATTCTTACCAATTTAATTGACGCTGTCTAATTATAGATGATCCGAGCGGTTATTACCCATAGCTCTAAAATTAAAGTGAATAACTAAATAACATAAAGACATAAACTTAAAGGTATGCTATTTACATGACAGTTGTGACAATAATATAATTTTATAAAAATTAATTTTTTTTTCTTTTCCCTTGGATATATCGTGTCACCTCTACGTTGCGTCCATTTCACCCTGGTTGAGAACCACTGGTCTAGAGGATCATCTCGAAATATATTGGTTGTCGTTACAGATGTTCAAAATAACTTGTATAAATTATGTGAGTATCTAACTAAATTATAAATGCGATAATTTATAAATTTGATGTTTTTTTATTAACTGATTAAAAATTGTAGGTACAGACAATGGTTTTCTGAAACATAGTATACCATACAAGAACAGAAATAGTTCCTTGTGAGGAAAAGTTGATCGACTTAAAAAAGTACGATACTGTCAGCCAAAATGAAGTAATTCTCCGGGAGGTTGCTGGGAGCCAAGGTTATTAGAAGTGTTATTGTAAAACAAAATGTAAAAACAATCGATGTGTTTGTCGAACAGCAAAAACTCTATGTAACTCGGAAAGTCGTAATAGCAGTGAACCTTTGAACCTCTTACCCTGTGAAAATTAATACAATTTTAAACTGTATTGATTTTTAACTTTTAATAAACAAAATAAATTAAATATTGTCAACTTTGATTATTAATCTTAGCCAGTAATGTCTAGATAGTGTCAACAATGCCAAACCAAATCAGCCATTACCACAGTAATGATTAGTCATTTCTGGTAATGGCTGATTGCCGACATTGACGATAACTTATATACTTCATAAATATTAAACCGAAGAGCATTCTTATAGAATAAAAATTATTTTATAAATATTCTGATAAAAAAAAAATATATGCTACTTATTTTTTTAATGCTATTATTTAACATAACAGTGAATTTTTATGAAAACTGGAAATTATATAATTCATTGAGCATTATAAAAATTGCAACTTTTATTTTGAAAAATAAATCCAATTTAGAATTTCTTAATTGAACACGTACAATATATGAATATACCCATGCGTTTATATTTCACACAAGGATTTCGTAGTATTTGTATCGCATGAAACATAATTTTTCGGTTAGTGAACGTCTCAAATAAAATTTTTTTTTTTTTTAATATTCAAAAGTAATTAACAATCTGTATCCATACTAGACACAATAAGAAAATATGATAAAGGTTAACATATCATGAGGTTTTATTGAAAGAAGCCACCCATTGATAGCACTATCTACTAACTTGATAATTATTTATTTATTTTTATTTTTTTTTAATTATTTTTAATTTAATTTAATATATAATATATAATTTATTTAATTTAAGAGATCTCTACACCACTTATGCTTCAGACGTCTCGGAGGATTTCCAGGTATTGTGGAAGTGGCCAAGTTTTTATTAATTGATTAGGGTGATTATTTAGACGGTAATAGAATCTTTTGTAAAAGATTTTAGCTTCATCATTTATTTTATTAAGTTTCAAGTCGGTGTGTAGTGTATGATTTGACACGTAAGGTGGAGCATTCGTTAGTTTTCTAAGCACGATATTTTGAAAGATTTGGATTTTCAAAATATTTTTCTTTTTCGCATTGCCCCAAAGCTGAAGGCCGTAGGTCCATAGTGGTTTCAATAGTGTTTTGTATATAAGCAGTTTAGTTCTAAGAGAGGTGTGATAATTATTGGATAATAAGGGTTTAAGTAATCGAAGACGATGATTCAATGCTAATCTTTTGGTTCTGATATGATGAGCCCACGTTAATCTTTGATCTAACGTAAGGCCGAGGTATTTGATTTTTGGAGAGTAGGGAATTGGAATTCCATATAGGACAACACCAGGACAAGGAGTATGTCTTAGGGTAAAGGTTGTGTGAACGGATTTATTCTGGTTAACTTTAAACCGCCATTTTGTAAACCATTTTTCCATAGCATTAAGGTGAGTTTGAAGATTTATTGACGCTAAGATTGGATTGTTGTTAATGGATATTAGTGCTTTGTCATCAGCAAAGTCAGATAAAAATTAATGTAATAATACTTAAAATAAAATAAATTAAAAAATATTTGTGCACAAACCGTCCAATCCAATAGCGTAATATTATGTTTGAGTATAAGTACCATATGAAAGTCCTCAGACAAATCGCATTGTAACTGTTTCAACAATAATAATAACAATGTTAATGAATCATCGTTGCTGACGTGAAATAAAATATATTCCATTCCATCGAGTGTTCGATTTGAATCACAATGTGCCTCATTCAGCGCTTCAGTTCCATAATCAGGTTCGATCAACTTCAAAGTGTTTTCCTGCATTTTTAAAAACAAATATTTGGTAAAGTCTAAACATGTGTGTTTTCATTTAACGTTTTTTTTTTCTGATTCATTTTTATGGATCAAATGAGAGTTTAATTCAAAAACATGATGGTGAAAATCGAAACACTCAAAATTGACATTAAACTTTAAGTTTATATTGTAAATCCCTAAAAATATTGTAGAAATTCGAAACATTACTGATACTTAAATTATACTAAAATAAAAGGAATTGCTATACATATTACTTTGCTATTGAAAATAATATTATTTGTGTTAAAATACAATATTAATGTTCATACGAGAGAACAGCCACGTAAGTTATCACTTCTGTACTTAAAACTTAACTGTAATGTGAATTTGTATTACTTTTATTCACATTTATTATTTCACTAATAATGCAATAATTAAATTAGATATATATATTATTTATTTTTATATTCTCATAACATTGAAAAAATTCTCATAAAAAAACCAAATGGTGAAATATTCTAGAACTCAAAATAAATCTGGATATATTCTATGCTAGCGCATTAAAATCTCGAAGTATTTTATAAAAGAATCCTTAAATATAGTTAATGCAAGAAATTTATACTTTATTTTTGGATTTTAAATTGTTGTACCTGCCATTGTATTTAAGAAGTTATGTTCATTTAATTGTACATACATTTAAGTATGAATTCGACTAGAAAACGAATTAATTATTGATAAAATAACAATAATGTAAATTATTGTCTAAACATAATATTTAATTTAATTTTTAGACAAAGTTAAATATAATACATCGAACATCTGTAATATTAATTACGATATTTTCATCCCACCATAAATTTATATATTTTCAGATCGGAAAACAATTTTCGGCCGGCTCAGCTTCATTATCAATGGAATACGAAATACGTCGTACAATACGAAATACCTTGAATGATCTCGCATACCAGATCTAGTGACATTCACAGACAGATTAATATGATGTTGTCATGTTGACGTAATTACAACTGTTGTTATAAGTTCTATAATATCCTACGTACGTCAGTCAATAACAGTATTATATATTATATAAAATTGGTCTTTGGAATTCTAGACAATTTGTAAGAATTCAACATTATCTATTATAGTATTATCTAGGTCGGAGGTTCTCAAACTGTGGTACGCGTACCCCTTGGGGGTAATCGACAATTTTTAAGGGGTACGAGTCTGGCCAACAAATCTTTAAATTTAAATTATTTATGAGCAAAAGGTTATTCATTTTTAAAATTAAATATAGAAACAAGTTAAATATTGAAATGATTTAAGGTTGTATTTAACTAAATTAGAACTCAATATGGATCGACTGTGCCAACAAAAACAAGCTAACCCTTCTCACTAATTTTTTTTCTGAAAGTAAGCTCTTTTGTTTTTAACATTTTGTGTGTATTAGTTTTTAATGAAATAAAAATTTAATTAAGTTTTTAAATTTTTTTATATTTATTTTAGTTTTTCTAACTAAGAAGGGATACCCAAAAATGTTTATTGATAAAAAAGGGTACAGTGTTTATAAAAGTTTGAAGATCCCTGATCTAGGTATTGCAAAGTTTCGTATAAATAATTTGCAGTTATGTTTTCCTTAGGCGTTTCATTAATCTTTGGGGTCTCGTTCTCACTGGACAGTTCATTATTCCTAGGTGTGTTATTATTATTGACTATGATATTTATTTTAGTAAATTAAATCATCAAAGGTGAAATGTTTTTTTTTTTTTGAATTTTGTTTACTAATAAAAGTAATAGTTTTGTTACTATTAAAAGTAAAACTTCTACTTTGTTTAATTAATTAAACACTATATCAATTAGACTATATCAATGCGTTACTTTGAAGATTTTTAATATTGACTATTTAAAGATTATGAAATACTATAATACATATGATAAAATCTAACAAATGAGAAGATCTATTACACAAATACTCGAGAGATATAAAAATAGATGCAAAAAGCAATAATCGGATTTTTCAATATTATTGCTTAATTAATTATTCATATGCTTACATAAATGTATCCATACATTAAATGTATGCAATTAATCAAAATATACAAAAAAAGAAATTATGACTTAGTTATAATAGGCTAAATTTATTTTGACAAGGAAATAAATAAGAAAGTAATTTTAACAGCAACTACCCTGCATGAAATTAAAATGCAACTATCCATCACATCAAGCTCAAATGTTGATTTCCAAGGATCTAAATGTCGAGCTCTTATCGATTAATTTTACAATATTTTTGCAATTTTTTTTAATTGAATCTTCAATTCATTATTCAACCATGCATGTTTCAATCTGAACACGCAATAACGAAGACCAGTTTGATGTCTATGGAAACAAATTATCTCTGCAAAATAAGATAGTTTAATGAACACGTGAAGGGATAAGTATATTATAGTGGTGAACGTTTGTATGATTTCAAATAGGTAAGTCTTCGATATGAGACGTAATACGCATTTTATATAATAGGACACGTTCAAAGAGGAATTTCAAATGATCCAAGGGGAAGTGTCGATTTTTAGCGAGACATCTGTAAAAGACAATGCACTCGAAATATTAAATAATAGACCAACGTTATTATTCAACTGCACAAACGTGAGCAGACAACTCTGCAATTATGTAATAATGGTGTAATAGCGAATGTGCTGCATGTAGGTACCACTGACGTCCCGTTGTTTTATATACCTAAGTATTCTTTCTATCTCCCACCCCCTGCATCTTATAGTTCATGCAACTGTTGAGGGATTATAATGATACAAAAAATATTATACAGAGACTTTTGATAAATTTTGAAAAAGTTTAACAAGACGTTTTCATGTACTCTTTTAATAAACAATAGTTTACAAAAAACAATATTATTGCAATTACTTAAAAAATTTTAAAATATTTTATGCCACATGGTTTTATGCAATATTATACAATCAATATTTAAATCGTTAACCATCTAGACGTTTTGAGTTAACCAGAAATTATCTGTATTATTATATTAAAATTATTTGTATGCACTACACCACAAAGATTATTGTACATGTATATTAATCTCTGTTCATATATCTAATAAATATACTTATATTAATCAAATTGATGACCATCCACGAACTATATATAATTACTATTACTAAAAGAGTTAAAAATACATCGACAAAAAAGTAATATCGTTTTATTTACATTTATCACAATAATTTTTTGTTCACAATCGAGTTTAAATGTTAATGAGTTCAAACCGTCGATGGTATCAATAAATGTATTTTCACTTTGTTGTTATCAATGTTGGTTGTCATTTTTTTTTTTTTGTTTGCTACAGTTTGTAAATAAAACTGATTTTTTAGCCATTCTCTATCTTCTTCCCCAGCTTCGTGGAGTCCGTCAATGCCTCTTTCAACCATCATTGACCAGTTATTACTTTATGTATATTGACTTACAAATAATACAGGTTTTTAAAATATATTTTACGCTGTTGAGTATAATTTTTCCAGTTTCTTTAAAACATATTATTTTTTTATTAAATAAATACTAATTTACAACATACAACAAATACAAAATTTATAAAAAAACATATTAATATACATATTATTGTTATTATTTTTTTTACATATTAACAATTATTAGTTTTATTATTATAATCATTTCCGCAGTCTTCTATTTCATCACAAGGTTTGTAGATTTTTACACACCGACCATTTCTGAAAAAATCGTGAATGTATTAGTCTCACCTAAATTTAATTTAGAATATTTTTTCAAAATTCTTATCAATTTCTACAGTTAGTGAGTAGTGGTATTACACTATTACTTATATTACACACGATGATTTTAAATCAAATCAAAAAAGCATTGGAGATTAATATTCCTAAGGTGTGTGTAAATAATGTTATAGTCAAATATCACATTCCACGAACATTATTTACTAATAAACATGCGTGCAAATTGTGCACTGTAATAATGAAGCAACATAGTGAGATTAATGAAAAAATTGATTTTATATAAAATATATTCGATTTTCATGTATTACGTGAATAAAAGAAACGTTAGAAAAAATATTCGTGTTTTAAAATTAGTACGTAAATTATACAATTTTTTTATACTATATACTTTGAAAACAATAATAATAAATAATTAATAAATTATTAAAATTTTTTTTAAACAATAATTTGAATTTGTATAATAAATATTTATACGTTTATAAACAATAGATTTATATCAAATAGTTTTAATTATAATGATGTGAATGTCTTTCGAATTTTTATTATGACCTTGAAAGTTGAATAACTACCACACTCAAGCGAAGTATATAATACGGGTATAATAAATCAATAGTAACAATTGATGAATCCGCATTTCAATCACAACACTCGTTTTATCATGCTAATTTAAACGACGCGTTTGTTTGAAAATTCTGAAAGGAACTGGTGTGCTCAAGACAGCCAAAGAAACTCGTGTGAAGAAGCATTCTAATGATGCGATTTCTATACCTGCAAGCTTTTTCATCACTTCTGCAAGGACCTTCACAGCCTAACGGTTCGTCGGACTTATCCGAACAGTCGGCGTAAGCGTCGCAATAACGATCGTGGCTTACACATTCGTCGTTTGAATTACAAGCAAATTTGCCGTCTTCGCAATCTAAATTTTGGTTTATGCGCGTGTACAATAATGATAATAAAATATTGTACTCGTCTAATATTTCAATTTGGTTTTGTCTACGCTCGATGTATCGATAAGAGGTTAAGTAATGAAATCTAGATAAATATACTTACGAGTGCAGTTCAGTTCATCGTGGCCGTTCCAACAGTCCGATACACCGTCGCACATTTTTGCCTTGGGCAAACACTGTATACCACATCGGAAATGTGTCTCAAGATCGCATGCTAAAACAACAAACGTCGAAATGTATCATTTTTTTTCTTAAACACTCGTGTTATAATAATAGTATACGATGCAATTATGTTCATCGGGCAATTCTTACCACAATCTTTTTCGTCTGACTGGTCGAAACAATCGTAGATACCATTACATTTTGCTTTATCCGACACGCACATACGGTTTCCACACTCAAACTCATTCTTAGAACACGGCGATGTATCCACACAACTAAAAAATAACAAGGACATGTATTCAATTGTTATAATTTTTTGTTTATGCACATTTGTAAAAAAACATTTTGGTTGGTCAAAAGGTAACTTAAATAGCCAAATATTGTACTTTGTCAACGTATAAATGTCAAACTTGATTTTTAGTGATATCCCGATCGATATTTGTTGAAATATAAATATATTTAAAATCATAACAATGACTTGATTTTAGTTCACAGACAAATTGTTAAAAAATAAATTCTAAATATCTATTTAGAATTTACCGGTAAAAAAGAAAAAATTATCCTCAAGTATTTAAAACTTTTAATCAAACGTTCGATGTATTTAAAAAAAAAATGTTTCCACAAAACTAATTAAATAATATTGCGATGTAGATTATAAAATGAAATACAGATAACATTTAAAGGAATACTTAACTATGTGTGTTTAATATTAACGGAGGATATATATAATCTTAATGTTAGATAGATTAAACAACGAGAGCTAATATTTTTCATAAGAGAATCTGTATAAAACATTTCTAGGTTATTTTTATTAGTTTCAGTTAACCGTATAAAAAATATCGATTTTACAAAGTTGAATTACGATTCATATAGATAAGGTATTATGTTTTTGAGTCGAGTTGTGATTTGTATATTTTATACTATTGAAAAATATAAATTCATTATAATGCACATTCAATCGTTAAGATTTTTTACAAACTTCCTGCATTCATTATTTGCATAAACTATCTTCCATTTTTAACAATATCAATAAAGTTGAAAATGATTGATCTATAATTTACAAACACATACTACTACGGAGAAGAAAATGTATTAATATCCGCCTTTGTTCAAATGCATGGAGACTATTAGTGGTATTTGTACCCCTACTGAGTCGGCGTCTGTGATCGTTATAGTAGAATGAGATAATGGTTGTTTCGGAAAGAATAATGTGCATAGAACGAACAAATGTGGGCGGATGGAGATCAACATTAAACGGGTATTGTTTGATAAAATAATCTCAAATCAAATATTCAAATTGAAGAAGATGTATTATGGAACCAGACAGCTACATAGTATTTTATTATGTTATACATTATATAAAAATAGTTAAATATATCAGCAAACCGACTATATAACAAGATTAAATTGGGTTAGAAACTAATATAATATTCTCGAAAGGAATAGTTTAGGTGTGACTCATATTTTTTATTTATATAAATAAGTGACAAATAATAACAAATCAAAGTAATTAGGACATTTAATGAATAAATATTGACTAGATAAAAACGAACAATAAAAGATTTGAAGTTAAATAAAGAAAACATAAAAAAAAAAAATATATAAAAAAGAGATTATTTCATATTAGAAAAATCGACATTATAATGAGTCATCCATATAAAAAAATTGTAGAGTAAAAATATATTTTAAAATTATAATAACAATAATTGTAATAACCGAATTGTAGTCGAATGTTGTTTATGTTGTATATGTTGTTATTATTATTTATTATTATTGTTATATTATTTATATATTTATATTTACTAATGAAATTTTATATTTTATGCCACTAATAAATAATTAAGTAATACAATGAAAATGTAAAACTAATGGCGTTGTATTAGGTAGGTACATTAAAATATCAAAATAAGAATTTTAATTTTCTTTTAATTTCGGAAAACCAGTTTGAAAAATGATTACAATATAAATTTGAGTGGATTCACAGTCGCGGAACCCAAACCAGTTTAATCTTATATTTTATATTCCAATTAACTTTGTTTAATAACAGTAATTGGGTAGCAACTACTGAATAACCAATTTTGAAGGAATCTCAGTGGAATGCCGAAATATAAAAAATGATTTCTCATCCATCACCTATCTATAATCGATGATTGAATTGTAACATAACCTTCAATTATATAAATTAAAAAAAAAAAATTGCTTACGTGTACGCGTTTCTATGAATATTTTGACAGTATTGAGTGTTTATGCCACAACGGCCTCCACATCCAGTTTTATCTTTGATATCTAAACTGGGTAAACATTGTAGAATCCCTTCGTCGCGATCAGCTAAACACACTTCATCTTCCTTGCATTCATCACAAATCCAATTATCTTCAACTAAAATCCAATAGAAATGTAATTTGTTAGTTATTTATCGAGTATAAAATTGCGAATAACAAATATTTTTGACGATGTATACTTATTTTTATTAAAGTTAAAATGGTCAAATAAAAATAAATTTACATTCTTTGCTAAAATTTAATCGAAATGAAAACGAGAAATAGCCTAAGGCCAGAACAGATTGGATTGTAAAATCGAAATATACAATTGCCGAGTTGGCATAAATTATTCATAGCAATACTCAACATTTTTTAATGATAAGAATATTGTTTGAAAAGTCTTTTGAAAGATTCTACAAGCCCATGTGAGACATGGTCCAGCATCATATAGTTCGTATTAAACACAACTGATTTTATTTATTTAATGACAAAACTTCAATTCCAACGAAGAATATTTTGACTGGGAAAATCAAATGTATAAACTAAACATATTAGGATTTATCTTTTTTTAATGTACGAATGTCACACAGCAATACAAAACTTATGCATTTTTAATGTGATGGTAATTAATTGCAAATTAGATAGCGTTGCCTAATAAATCGTTTAATATTTCGAGTTGTGTGCTTACCGTTTTCAGTGGCTTTGCTGACCGGCGCCTGTTCGATAACTTCTTTACTGGTGGACGTGGAAATCGGCGGTGGGACTGTGAAGTATTCATCGAGGTCGGAGTTTTGTGACAGATATATTCGACATGGCATCAAGTCCAGGTCGCTCTTGTTGCCTGGTATGAGTAAACACCGGTCCACGCTTGTTGGTTCCCGCGTGTCTCGAGTCAAACATTTTCTCGTCCTGGTAGCTACGTAGTCACCGGGGTCCTCGCAACCGCTCCATTCGGACCAATCGGTCCATTCGCCCAACTCGCCGCTCACTGTTTCGCAGAACGCAATTGATCAGGTGTTTTGTGAATATCGTTTTATTTTTTATTCGCCAACGGATGCAATTGAAAACTTACTTTGGAATCCGATCGACTGCACGTCCACGCTGTAGTTGCCTAACCAAGTATGTCCGTGCTGTATGCGAAGCGTTTTGAGGAACGCAATACCGATCTGTCCAATGCCGATCGCAGATTCCGGGTCTTGAAAGAACTTGATCTCGCATTGCACTTGTACGCCTTTCGACGTGCCGGGACTGAGGTCGGTCACCTCGCAGCCATCGTACCACGGGGACAGTTCACTGTACTTGAATGTATCGTCCAGCTGTAGACCAAAACAGTTTAAAATTCGAATTAATTCAACTGTATAACATTGCGGTAAAATGTACGAATAACGCGAATCGATGGTTGTATAAAGTGGAAAATTACCTGAGTCGTGATATTGTTACTCAATTCTTGAAATTCAGTAGAATTTCTATTCACAAAGCTTATCGTGAATGGGATATTTGTAATTTTAAATTCGCCTTCTACCACTAATGTAAATTTTTCTTTGTGTGGAACTGTAAAAAAAAAAAAAAATTAAGTATTAAAAAAAAAAAAACCTCAGAAATTGTATTCGAGAACTCATTATAATATTGAATTATAATTTTAATCATCACGTACATTTAACGTTCACGTCGAATACATAAACGGACGTGTAGGGTATACCTATTCCGGATCGATTTGTTAACTGTTAATTATTATCGCGGTATCGGCAGAACACGACGTGATGGCGTGGATATTGTAATACAAGATATACGATTAAATTACTATTGGTTTTTCGATCTAGCCGTACGTGCTTCTCGAGAATTCGGAATTGTTTATATTGTTGTACACCATTGCCTCCGGGCGGTGAATTAAAAGATGCTTGTGTGCCTATTCCAAAAACAATAATATATCTCCGCGCGGGACTCGTGTCGGGACTGTATTTTAGTGAGCGGCTCACTACTACTATTTATTAAGAAACGAAAAATGTACACAATAAGTATAAGAACTCGGAGAACCTAGTTTTTACGGATAATTTGGTTTCGTCAACGGAAATTGCTTTTCAATCGAAACCACGACCCCGAAAATCGGCATCATCATTATTATTATTATTATTATTATTATTATCATCAGCCCGGCAACACGCGCGCGCGCGCCTGTCCTACGCGCGAAACGTATATTATGCGCGCGGCGGTATCAACGTTTCGATATCGTTCGATCTTCGTCGCACGCGCAATCTGATCGATCTACGTCTTCGCAGCGCGTGGTGCATTATGTGCGCCCGACCTATTGTGTTTCACAAATCGAACTGTATACGTATTACGTACGTATACGTGCATCATTGTAGCGGATCGCGCGTTCACGTCTACGTACGCTGTAACAATAATAATACTTGCGCGTATATAAATATATAATAGAACTGTTGCCGGTGTTGTGAACAAACGGGTACGCACCACATGGGTGGGCGCGACGAGAACGGGACCGCCACTCCCTCCGCACGAACTTAGCCCGTAAGCGTTCATCGAACGAATGCCTACGATAACATGTATCGGGTACGGCGACTGATGAAGTGATGTAAAGCTTATTTCGCTTTCTCGGTGTTTTTCGACTTTGAGACGCGGGCGACAAAAACCAAGAAGCAAAACGGTATACCTATACGTGACCGTCGCTCGTTAGCCCCGTTCGCGAAGAAATCGTTACGAATACCGCCGTCCCGTGCTGACGAAGCATACGCGCCAAGGCACAGGGCTCGAGGAGCTCGGACTTTTGGTCCTGAAGTATTGAACTCCGTTTACCCTTTTTCTCAGAACGAAATTATAATATTATAAGTTAAATTTGAAAATTTCCGAATCGAAATTTTATTTCTATTTGGCTCCGTGGAAAATAACAATATTATGTAATAAGCTTAACTTTATACCGTAGACCGATTTTTGACTTACTAATTGACTGTTGTAAATCGAAAACGCTTAGGTACCAATTGCCATCTCTACGTGCAATTATGAAATGATGGATTAGTAGTATGGTTATATTAATGGCTAATTCATTTTTAATTAGACGATGTGATGTCGGATTTTCTCGTTTTACATCGACGTTAACAAGTTTTATTTATCGGAACATTTGAATTAGTTTAAAGCCACACTAATTACAGTTTTAGAATATTGTACTCTTACGTTCAGATAATAATATTGGTAATAATTAAAACCGATCGTCATATACAGGACCGTGATTAGGGGGGGTGCGAGAGGTGCGCGTGCACAGGGCGCCATGACGGGAGCATCGAAAGCTTTTTCATGATCTACGTAATTTTACTGAAAGTTAACCATATTATTTAATTCATAATATTTAACACATTCAATGCCATGGTCTTGACGCGTAGTCGACATCATTAACATTGTTCTGAATCAAGATTCCTGATCGACGGTGTTGCTAGTTTATTTTTAGTATTTGTATTTATTTTTCCCGAAATGACGACGTCGTCCATAACAAATTAACAATGATATACCATTTATACTCTAACGTTATTGTTAATTGAAAAAATAACATAGATGAATGTCGACTTGACGAGTAGTACGATTGTATTTTGAACCTATCTATGATAGTGTTCATATCATAGTTCATGAACGCCGAATTCGCATAGGTACTTAATTACTTTTCATCGGCAATTATTTAAAGAAAATTATTTTTTATGCGAATAAATTTGATTTGTAAATTAATTATACCAGTTTAATAAAGTAGGTTATTAGGCATCTATATGTTTTGGTCTACCTTTACAGTTTTAGTTGTATATATTAGTTATATTGTTCTTTAGTTGTTGATTATTTCTTTTATTTATTTAAATACAAAAGTAGTTACCCCCTATTCTTATTTAGTCTCCTTACAGCCTATAGATGGACAAATATTTGAAAGAGGGGAGGGCGCTAAAAATGATTCTTAGCACCGAGCGTTAATTATGCTAGGCACGACACTGGTCATGTATATACGGGCGTCGAACACGTTAAACGCATTAGGTATTAAAGAAATACATTTCTATGAAAATCAATTAATTCGTTTAGTTTCTTTTAAAATCGAATGCTGCTGAGGTAATATGAACGGCATAAGGGCTCTACCCGGTGTTTCAGCCGGCCCCGGTGTTAACACCATCTCAATCCGGTCCTGCCTCGCACGCGGATACATTAATTGCGTTCTCGTGGCCGTCGCACAGCGTTACTACACGCGCAGCTCACCTTGTATTCTAGTGATGTATAGCAGCACGCTGGTGGTCAGGCATATGATCGCGGTGAAGAACAGAAACGTGTACAGGACAAACATGTTGGTGTGGCACATGGTCCTGGGCGGCGAATTGCACTTATGCAAATGCGGTATGTCCGAGGGCGGTTGCCAGCAGGTACACCTCTTGCCGGGTTGTTGCCGGGTCGGCTGGAATGCGGCCGGCGTGGGCGTCGTCACTACCGCGGTGGTGGTGCTGCCATAGGCGCGTGGGTCGTAGATCGTGGACACCGCGGTGCCGGTACCGCCGACGCCGCCGCCGCCGACGCTACCACCGCCGCTGCCGCCTCCACCGCCGCCACCGCCGCCGCCTCCACCGCCCGTGTTGTCCTTACCGGACAATAACCTCGCGGCCAAACACTCGTTGGCCATCCGCTGACCCTCCTCCGGGTTGTAAGCAGGATTTTCCATTATCACCGCCGTATTGTATAATTATTATTTCACTCCCGGCACAATGGTCGTATTGTATACACTGTCCGCAGTTTCCTCTGCGACGGATTTCCTACGCGCGATTATATCTCGCACGATCACCTGAAAGAAACATTAAAATATTATTTAATATATATGCTGTAATATCGCGTGTGAATAATACACGCGTATACGTACGCCTGCGCGTATTTAGGTACGGGCCAAAGGTCACCAGGTGGTCGGAAAAAGGTAATGTTCGAATTGCACGACGACTAAATAAATTATAGTAAAAAAGTTAAAATTTGAAATATTTAAACAATTATCAACCATATATGTACGTGCAATCATGTTATTTTTTTCAAAATGTAGCAAATCATCACATAAAATAAGTAGTTTCTCAAAACTCAGATCTATTATAATTGTAATACACGCGCAATTCGATCATTTTGGTTTAGGTAAGAAGAAGCACAGTTTATGTCTTGTGAATTGATCGTATACTTGGAAAACAGCTTGGAAATATAACAATTAAATGCACGAGTGATAGGGCTGCAGCAAGACCACCACATAAAGGACTTGACGTTTACGGTTCACAATACGTGCATAATATCTGTACGATAATAACAATCATGTGCGTAGATCTGTGGTTGAGTTCAGCGACTTTTCGATTCTGTACAAGTCCGCGTTTATAATATTATGAACAGAGAGAGAGAGAGAGAGAGAGAGAGAGAGAAATAGAGTGCGCTATGCAGGTTCTATAGGAAAACGGAAAACGTCGTCGTCCGTACAACAATAGTAGTGTGCATTATAAAACGGTAACAGCGCGCCACCGGTGGACATTTTCGTTCTTGATAACCGGACATCTCACAGCGCATTGTGATCGACGCATGAATGAAACATCACACGAATCCTATTGTCGAGATTATTATTTTCTTTTCAATGGGTCATTAAATCGTTGCCGGCCGCATATAGTCATAAAACATGTGTCGACCGGAATAATGACTGTGAGTAAATATGGAATTTTTCACGTGGGCGTGTGATCGTCTGAACGAAAACATCACAATAACGTAAACGTATACATACATAAATATACGTATATAGTTAATATTTACACATACCGTATGTACGTGAACGCACACACACACACGCGCGCGCACACACTCGTATATACATACCCACGTAACCATATAATGCCGGTCTCGTGGCGTGCTCATGGGCAATGTCCAAGAGACGTCGCGCGATTTGCATAAATAACACATTTACGAGTCAATATATACACGTACACGTACATACGGTATAAACTGCCGCGTGTGTTTGATAGCCGTTGTTACTTTTTTATTTATTTAAATCGTTGTTTAGTGTATTCATTAAGCGCCGAACACGTTTTAACTCTTAACCCGCGAGCCCGCAAATTAAATACTGTACACCAGAACCGAATAAAAAAACCCGAGACATTTATTAAGTGCCGGATCGTCGAATCGAACAGTTATTCAACGTGAACGCAACCGGCTATAATATATCCCTTGAACGTATTTTTAATGGTCCATAAAAAACGTACGAATAACATTACTCGGAAGACGTACGTACCGGGGGCCGACGGCGGTTCATCTTCGGATGTCCGTAGAGTTGAAATAATATTAAGCCAATGACTAAATATAATGACGTGTGGAGAGAGTTTAAAAACTTTTGAAAACGCAACAAATCTATTATGTTTTATTATTTTTTTGTTTTAATTGGGTAAAACTATATAATTTTGTAATAATATTATCGAAAAATCGTACTTTTCGACTTTTGAAGAAAATCCTAAGGCACAATTGCCATAGCGCATACAAATTAATACTATGGATTAATTTTTATCGTATAAGATTTATCTTTAATATAACATTGTGCGATTCACGAGCTGTTGATATACTGACAGTTTAATAATCATTTTAATCTTATATACGCATTGTCGAATTTCATGTAAAATATTAATTTATAAAAATTATTATAATGACCAAAAAACATCTATTCGTACATGTATACATTTTAGAAATATTTAATAGTCTTTTTCCTAATAATTATTGTATTCACGATGCTGTTGTATGTACATAGCATATTAGGTACATTGCACAAAATTGAATAAATTACACCAGTTTTGATGAGTTAAAATAATAAAACTGTTACTTATTTAGTAATTTCAATTCGAGAAAATTAATTAACGATCACATAATTATACGACTCATGAAATACATCTACTCGTTAAAATTACTTTGAGAATAACCATTAATGCGATTAAATTAATACCTATGCGGTCTATAGAAAGTGACCATTACTCATTAAAAAACATGTTCATTTTTCGTATGGATATTTTGATTAAATCGTAAACAATAGTCAACCTAGTTATTATGTTAAAATTCGATCTATGAATAGTTGTTCGATGAATATTAAATATAAGACGTTTGTAGACTCTCGACGGAGCATTTTTACTATTCAAAAATAATATGAGTATAAATAAATTAACAAATATTTTTGAACAAAAATAAAAAATATGTATCAAAACTTGACATTATATTTGAATAATAAAAAAAAAATATTTAGAGCATATAAATACATTCCTGATTTATTTTCAAGATATTTTTTAGGCTATGTATATATGATTCCCCTCGACGATTTATTAGTTTTATTAAATAAAGAAATCATTGTAAATTATCGTTGTACAACCTGTAAATCTCTGGTAAAAGAAAAAAAGGTCATTTTAACAATGTGTTTGATATTCAATGAATGTTTTTACTTCATAGTTTAACACTAAAAAATATAAGCTTACCTACATTTTTTCTGCTTTTTCAATTGTATAGCTTTTTGATAAATGTAAGAAAAACGACTTAGTACCTAAGTATCACAAAATAAATTATAATAGATCTTTACCGAGGAGAATAATACTTCATCAATTCTTTTCATGAGTTCCGGAAATGTATTTTTAATAAAAGAAAAAGGTAGCAATTTTTGTTCTTTTTAAAAAATAACATTTGGTAAAAAAATAAGAAAATAAAAAAAAGGTGGTCTCAAACTTCCAGGTAGGTCAAGATCCTATAATCATTGTTCTTTAGATTTCACACGCTATACCTGGGATAGTGGGATCATAAGTCATGAATCGTTAGAGACTGACAATACTAACGGTTAACTTCCTACTTTGTCAGTAATGTCTTTTAAGTATATGTTTGAAACCAAGTATACACATAACTAAGAAAAAATGTTAACATCAAGTGCGTTTTTATTATGAGTAGGTACATTATTTGTTTTCAGATTCCAAACAATATTATTTCATTAAAAAAAAAACATAATTAATTGGCGTACTATTATTATATGAAATTTTGCTAATGAAAGAATAAATATTTGTAATTTTCTATACATATGTCATATTGTGCTTTCTATATATTACTCAAAATTTCAGAACGTATCAGTGACTAATACGTTTTATAATATGAGAAATTATATTTTCAAATATTTGGAATCCAAAGTGCATACATTTAATTATTATAAATTACTTATATATTATATATACAACTGTATTCTAGTAAACTTAAACATGTATGATTTTTAATACTATGTATCACTTCAGTTCCATTGAAATATATTTTAAATTGAAGTTACTATTATATTATTGTTTATTCACACAACAACATTATTCTATACTCAAAAGAAATCATACGATTTATTGTAATTAGTAATGATATGAACCGTGACATCCATACACTTAAGAAATATAAATATTTTATAAGTCTAATGTTTAGATTGCTTTTATTAGATTACTTTTACTCATCCAATAACACAACACATCACCCGAAGTATTTGAAGTGTTTGAAGAGCATAGCAGTTGAAAATTTGATTTAACTGTTTAATGTTTTTGATTAATGGTATTCAATAAAAAAAAAAAAAAACTAGCATGCTGTATAAAACAGATTCATATTAATTACAAAATATATTACATTTATTTACACAATAAATTATCAACAATAAAACTAAAAATTGACTGCGATCCATTTGATTATAATTTTTTAAGGATAATTTGTCATGCATTAATGTCTGAAATAAGTAAATGTTTTTAACGTAGGTTCGTTTTCTATGCACGTCGCACATACGTACCTATTGTACATGTAATTGCATGTCTTCGTGTAACATATTTAATGTAAGGTTAGCTATAAAATCATAAATTGCATTTCATTACATGCGGTAATCGATAGTTAAATACCTATTTTACAATTAGGGTTTGTCAGTTACAGTTAGAACGTTATTATTTTTAAAACAATGAAACATAGAAAATGTAATTATCTACAAATCATTGTGTTACTAACAACAGATCAGTGAGAATATTTTCAATCGACTACATAGAACTTATTAATAAATTAATATTTCTAAAAAGTAACTACATGATTTATTTTTTCATATAATCGTAAGTATTACCTACGCTTCATTTGAAAACTAAAAAAAAAATTCTATGCATACTATTAAAATATATTAACAATAATTAATTTTAATACAATTGAAAATATACGTGTCATTTTCGTGATCTTCGTTGACATATTTTTTTTGTAATTTTATAAATGAAGTTGAAAAGATATCACCTCATACAAATTATAAATATTTACAAGTCTCAAAAAATGTAGCTTATGTAAATGACAAGTTCTTAAAATGTTTAAGTGTTTAAAACTAAACATGGGTTGAAAATTAAATTATCTATACCATAATTCTGTACAAACTAATCAACTTGTATTGATTTATTATTTTACTCGATATAAACATATTTAAATATATATTTACTAGACTGAATTTATTCGTAAGTATACATTTTATTATGACATAATGTCGCTACAAACTTTGACTAAATCTTAACTATAGTTGTATTAAATTAATGAATTTAATAAATAATTATTATTATATTTTAAATAAGTTCATAAAAATTAACGGATCGATATTATACATTAATAACTGTTTAAATTGACCAATGTAGCTATGACGTCAATAAGCACAATTCAACTATGTTACCATTAGCAACGAAGAAATGATAACAAAACTTGTTTTTAATACCTATATTACTAAAATATAATATATTCTTGGCTTAAAACCCGAAATAAATGGAAACAATTTAAACACCAGTTTATAATTAGGCACTTAATAAGGTAATTATTAATTTTTTAAATGGTTGGGAAAATTAAAACATGAATAACTAAAAAAATATTTTAATTAAAATAAAATTTTAAAAATCAATTATGAATAAAACTTTAAAATAAAATCTGACAAAGTATATATGCTTATAATTTGTAATACTAAAAATTAGTTCCTAATGAATAGTTATGGCCAACGAGTAATTTATTTTTATATAAATAGTGAAAATTATAGATTTTCCAAGTTTTATAACTACTGTCGGGATTTTTATTTTTCATAAATACCTATCGTTGCTAAATAATAATTATTATACCTGTATAAATATATATATAATAGATGATGGCATTTTATGTAAATATGGTACCAATTTATATATATATATCAACTTACGACTATTGAAATTTGTATGTATATATATGTGTATATTTTCAAATAGCATACGACGCTCTACAATAAACTATATGTTGTTGTGAATTATTCATCGTTACTACTAAATCAAAGAAACCTGAGTTTATTAAATGTATCGATTCGCTAACTTCTGTTTGTTGCGTATATGACCTAATAACTACTTAGAGTTTAAACGTTTAAGTTTAATCTATTAATAACAAAAAAAAAATCATCTAATGCCTGCATCTTATCAAGAAACGATATTTGTTAATTAATATGTATTTTATCGAACATGAAATTGATTAAAACATTTAACGAGAACTGTTTTTAGTAAAAAAAAAAAAAACCAATAATGTTACAAATAATTGTAGCTGATACAGCCAATAATATCTAACGACTTAATCACTATATTGAATAATTCCGAGAAGTATTGAACGTGTAAAAATGGCAAAATCGCAAGAAGCGTTTGATTATATTACGACTTGAAAAATCTAAACGTTCATAGTTTTCACATGAATAACAATTTTTTCTCAAGAGAACTCTTAAGTCTAACTTAGAAATAATTTATATATATAAATATATATATATATTTATTATAAAATAACCATACGATGACTAATAAATAACGAGAATGTTAAGCAAACGAAATCTCTAATGAAAAAAAAAAAAAAACCCGTGTTATAAAACGGCAACGGATGTACGCGAATTGTGTACAAAGCGTCTCTTTCGCTGTGTAGTACACGAATGAGTAGAAATGTTTCGAACATTCTTCGACCCGCCCGGTTGAGACATGTCGAGACGTGCGTTTGAAAATAGTCGCATGATACGAGTATATATTATTATTTCATCGATACGCGAACACTAGTTCTCTTTGTGCACATTGAAATGACAGCCAGTTCGTCAGCGCAACGTACCCGCCGATTCTCTCGCACGACACATTAGAATTATAGACGTTACACATAAACGTATACGGCCAGTACGTATAAAATGAATATAATGAATACCGATGAGTCTACGGCGAGCGCTGTGTAAACGGATTCGCGGCGAAGTGAATACGCTCAATTACCAAGTTAATATTATTTTTTCTCGTCAACCGTCCGTTCGGCGTTGTGCAACGACCAGAACGTGCAATGGTAGCCGGACGAACCCGGAGGTCTGCTGTTTCGAAACGTCCGATTTAGAACGATCGCGTTTTAATTCGAACGTTTAAGCCGCCGGGTAAGTGTACCCGTTCCCGATAACAGGACTCTTCCTCGCGATTAGATTGTTTGGAACCCGCCACAATTCGAAATACAGGTAGGATTCTTGTACACTACACGGTATACACCCCATATGCACGTATACATAAATACATACTACTGGCGATCAGAATGTCATGTGACAGCGGTTTTCTCGTCTGTATACACACATGTGTGTACAAGAACGTTTTATAAAATATTATAATCCAAAGCTATTTGTTGGATTTAAATTCGTGGATGCTCACGGCATACTATGGATTATAGAGACGTTTTAGTGTTCAAATGTTAAAAATCAAATTTGTCGTTGTTTTACGCTTTTCTCGCGACACGAAATTCTCGGTACAGCGTATCGCGACCGACGTCGTACGTACCGCGGTTCGTACATCGTTTGCACGTTGAACGGTTCAGCGCGTACATGTATACGTTCAATAAAGCTTACCCCGAGTCGCGACGGCGGCCAGTGCAAGTGCGAAAGTGCGGCCAAAGTTCGCGGTCACGGAGCGATGACGATCCGAGGATGAGCTTCTGTCATGACGGCGGAAACGGCAAACTGTCACCGCAGTGTTTTGTACGATATATATATATATATATATATATATATATGTAAATTTATACAAATTATATTACGTATGTCGCCCGTGAATTTCGCGACGAGATCGTTTCGCTTTGGACGGATGAGTTATGAGTTCGGCGCACTGCCGTTGAAAAACAGCCGAAACACGCGACGACGACGAAAACCGCAAAACCGTCGCGGAACCGTACGTAAAAAAAAATAAAAAAGCGACACGGTATTGTGTTATGTACTCGGACGAGGTCTGCGGACGACTGCGGCGTGTACGACGTGTTCGCGGTGCGACGCCGTCTGTTGCGATGTTGTGGATCGTGAGTGAAATAACCAACTGAACCGAACCGGCCTGCACGCACCGGATGGAACTACCGCAGTCACCGCCGCCGTCGCCGTCACCGTTCGCCACCGCCACTCCCCTCCCGACCCGACGACCGCGTCGGCGGCGGTCGGTCCTCCGTAGAATGTTATTAATGCGTTCCTAAATACGACAAAACACCTGTGTATATACGGCGCACCACCTGGCACCCCCTACTCCCCCGTGCTGCCCCTTCGACCCCTCGTTCGTCACCGGCGATGACAATACATATACGTATACATATCTATTGGTCCTGTGATGGCTTCGGACCTGTAGGCACCGTTCGCGCAACCGCTAATCAACCGCCACTGGGCAACGGCCCCGACAGTGCGTTTACGATGCGTGCGAATGCGTACGTGACGGCGATCTGCACGTGATCCGCACGCGTGCGTAATGAGTACCAACGACGTTCGCCCGTTTCACCTGTGCGCGTACGTGTACGTCGCTCGGGGGGTTTTTTTTTTTCTCTTTGTATACTTCGTCGGTACTTTTAGTCACCGAAAACTTCCCTCTTCGAAAACTGGTATTTTCGAAAAAGTTTTTCGCCGCCCACTTTATTTACGTTCGACTCCTGCCACCAGTTACTCGGTCGACTTTTTAGCGTTTCGCGATCATCCCAACCTGTACTCGTTGAACACCCACGCTTCGCCACTGACCCGCGTTGTACACCGAAAATCGTTTTCGATATTATTATCGATAAGAATTTTTCGTCATATCTCATGGGTTTTTTGGTCCCTTCGTTTGTTCGTGCTTTACCGTGGTATAAAGCGCAACGTTTGCTCATCCAATGTCCGCGGGCTCGTGCGAGTAGCCATCGAAAACCAAAAATCTGCAAACGCTGCGAGACGTGCACGACGTGCGTCCGCAGCAGTCCGGTTTTCCGTTATCCCGCGGCAAGGCGGTGTTGCGATCCGCGTGGCTACGAAGCTCGGACGGACACGTCACAAAGTCCGCAGCAGATCTGCTTCAAAACGTCGAGATAGTGCGCAGCAGCTGAAACCACCGAAAATGCTGGAATTCCACGACCCTACCGGTCGCCCGCAGCAACGCGTCGTGTGCGAACGTCGCCCTCCGCGTGTACATGTGTACAGTCATAACACGCTACCCGATTTCCTGTGGTGTCCACCGGATGTTCTTTTGTGTCCCAGCAACACGGCGGCAGCGGCAACAGCAGCAGCAGCCAGCCAGCCAGCCAGCAGCAGCCTCCTCCACTTCCACCTCCACCTGGTCGTCCGTCAATCGCCCCCACCACCCACTGCTATACGGTTTTGTGTGTACAATGGAGCGGGAGAAAAAAAAACGTATACAATATATATATATATATATATATAAAAAAAAAAAAATGATAATAGTAATAAAAAAAAATATATATATAAGAAAAGAAATTACGTGCGTCGTATGACTCAATGACTGTGGCGGCGGCGGTCCTATCCGATTTCATCGGTGCGCAGAGAATCCGAAACCGATCATTAGGCTCCGGCGGATCGTGACCCACCGCGCCGCAAACACATGAATGGGATCGGTGCCAAACGCGAAGGGTGAGCGCGCGCGCGCGGCATCGAATCGAAATAAGCTGATTAGACGCAGGGATTTTCACGTCATTGTCTGTTCCCGACCGTCTACTGTGTATTGTGTACACGTCATTATTATTATTATTATTATTATTATATCGGGGGAAACAATAATATAACATATCGCGTACCGGTGTAATAAAAAACGATAATAATAATACTACGTGTGTGTCATAATACATGTACGAGTATATATGGGTACAAATATATTTGGGCGTTCTGTGTGTTGTATCGTTGAACGTTACTATGCCGTCGGTAATGCACGTAGAATATCGTAGAGGTGTGTTTAAACGGAGGTTTTAATCCGTCAGATGAAATGTCAGATCAATTTTTATAAATAAAAAATGTAAAATCACGTTGAGCAATATTTAATCGGGACACGTTAGATAAAAGGCGCAGTCAAAAGAGTAAACTCACCAGTTATTTGATCGGTCAACCGAGCGAGAATTGTAGAAATAATGTACTTGGAAAGAAAAAATATCGAAATCCCGCATCCCGAAAAATACTAATACGAAAAAAAAGCCGTACAAGCTACAGCATTACATATGTAGGTAGACTGTATACATTTGTATAGCAATTTATACGTGTAACGCGACGGGGACGACCTAGTATAATAAATAAATCGTACGCGTACGTGCGCGTACCACGTTTTTGTTGTATTTATTTATAATTTTTTGGTTTTTTTTCCTTTCCTTTCTCCGTCCTCGAAATTTCGTTTTTCCTTCGCCGCCGAATAACGCACTATATAATACACACTACATTCATACACACGAGTTGTAATTGCACTCGCGGATCGGATAATAAAAACTGTACGTCGCGATAATTTTTTACCGAATATTTGTGTACGGAGCATACACGTTTTTTTTATTACTATACTGTAGATCGTGCCGTGCATTATAAATTATAATGCACCGTATACATTTACCTACTGTAACGTATGTACATTCTTTGCAGTCGACGTTCCTCTGCGTGGTCTCGTTGACTCTTGCACGTAAATTATACATAGTACTCGGCGAGGAAAAAAAATGTAGATCACACGTGTGTTTGTTCGCGTGCAGTACGATGTATTTTACGTATTACTATAACGTCTTGTCGTAAATTACAATATGTGTACATCAAATATTAGAATTTCGACGTCGTTGTCTGCACCCGCCGCCGCGGCCGGTCTACGTGACAGCAAAACGATTTGTTTTCGTGATAATCAGGGCTCGAAAGTTTTAGCAAATGTATATTTTTCTTGATTCATCCTAGAACATCCAAAGTAAGATACAAATATGTTCTAAACTACTTGGATATCATACACAACATTTAATTTAGCTATTTTTTGCATATTTACCGGTTTTATTGCTATTTTGCTAATCAAGGGTTTATAGTGCTATTTCTAACTAAATGGAGTGATTTGGTGATGGCGACAAAAACTCTTGGAGAGTTATAAAAGCCAAAAAAAGAAGAAGAAATACTATTTCTGGGTATATTTTCACATAATGCAGGAAATAATCACATTTTGCTGATAATAATGATTTAATTAGTTATAGTTTTAAAAATATTTGAATAATTGGAAATAAATAGACAACAACAATTATTATTTTATTTTTTCATCGACAATTTGATGTACTAATAGTTAGTGACTAAATAAAATCATTTAATTATAAGTACATTTTTACAAATATAATTAATTAATTTAACATTTTTGTTAAGTTTATAATTCAATCAGTCCAAACGTCTATGAACCAAAATATTTGTAAAACGACATTTAATTTTTTTTCTAATTAATTTATAATATTTTCAACACAAATGCATTTTTTTTTTATTTATCTTGCTATTTATAGCGCATATTTTAGAGTTTTTAAGTGCATATTTAAGAGTTAAAAAATAACATTTTTAGTGCTACAAATTCCAAGCCCTGGTGATAACCATATGAGCATATAATAATATTGTAAACCAAAGCGCTTGCGACAACTCTCGCATTAGAACGGGTTCACATTGACGAACGACGGGCGACAGCGATGAGCGATGAGTGACTAGGAATATCCTAAAATATAGGTATTTAAAACATAGTTCCAAACGGAAGTGTTTGTATTGGTCTTGAGCGATTGGCGACAGCGACCGGCGATTCTCGAGCGACGTGATTAATATTAATCATGTTTAATGTTTGGTCATAATTTTAGAGCGATATGTACTTTATTTTCAAACGTGTTCACTTGTTTTAATTAATTTTATACATTTAACTTTATTACAATTATTAAAATAAATTATGAACCAGTACAATAAATTTACTTCTGAGTAAAGAGAAATGCTAATTTCCGAAGTTCAATTAAAACCGATTTTCAAAAAAAAAATCGTTTAGCACAGGGTTTTCTAGCAGTATCGTTAGCTGAATTATACTTGTCGGCGACATATTGACAAATGAGAAATGAATTTTGTTTGATAAAATATTTTACATAAAATCGCTTTAGCGAATCGCTACTAGATGTAAATGCTTTAGTCGCGCATCGCCAATTGCTCTTCTCTGTCGCCAGTCGCTCGCCAATGTGAACCTAACCTTACATTGTTATGACGGGTGGTCATTAAAGTTCGTTCTGACGCTATGCGGTGTACCTGTACTCTCCGCCTATACCTAACCTGTGAACTCCTGTAATGATAAGATGATCATCGTGTATTTCCGGAAATTTAATCGTACGCGTGGATTAAATAATATTCATCAGATATAATTGTAACATTACATACCGTTTATGTATGTATAATCTCCAAAAAAAACCTAACGGTGAAAAAAGGCCGAGTTCCAAACTCCTTCCCAAAAAAGTTGATCTATCAAACTAGTGAAATCTACACTGTGGCCAAGTCTGATATTTTTTAATTCATAACCTCATTGCACTTCTACGTTAAAGAGCAACATTCCTCTTTTATTTGTATTGTTTAACACTTAGCCAATTTCTGAATGAGGCATAAACTACACTTAGCCGCAATGTAGATACAACTACCTACTATTCCTTCCTTTCCTTTTTTCCCTTTAGTTACACTGTAAAACCTACCTCTGTGCCAAATTTCACGTTTCTACCTATACCGGAAGTGTCTTATAATATTGATGATCAGTGAGTGAGTCAGTAACAAATTTTGAAATCCTTCCATTTCGAAATGGTACAATATTAAAGGCTCATTTTTACAGGGTCCTACGCTACTCGCAATTAATCTATTTTTTAAATTTAAAAAGTTTATCTTAAGAGGAAACAGAGATATATGGGTTAGAATAACCGGACGAATTGGTTCGTGTAAAGATACACTGGTGTTGCTGGAACTACGACAGAACCGTACCAAGCCATTTTTTATCCTGAGGCAGAACTGAAACAATGCGCCCCCTATGTTGTAGGGTTGTCACACTCGCAGTTTTTAATATGTACAATACGATTCGGAAAAATCTGAAAAATAACGAGGCAAGTGCCTCG